TGTATGGAAGGGAACTGTGATAGGGATCTCAAAAAAGCTGGCTAGAGCTGTCCGCAGAACAGATTGCAGGTATCCGAACGAGGGAGCTGGGGCTCGAATTCCACTCACGCGAACAAGTTTAAGGAGGCTGTAATGCTGGCTCTTCCTAAAACCGACCCCATGACGTAAAATGTGAGTGCGGGGGTCTTTACGCCGATACCTGTAGTTTCTAGCTAGCAGGTGTTCGGATAAAAGCCTTATCCGTTAGCAGAAAAAATTACAGAAAAAGAACAGAAGAAACTACAATAAAAATAAATCGCGGGTTCGATCCTCGGGTGACGCAATATCTGGAGTTGCGTATGGCTGGCTGAGTACGGCAACTAAGTCGCAAATGTCCATTTTAGTCTCCCGTCTTTTTCGGTAATGTATTTCCGAGACTGAGCCCAACACACAGCGAAACGAACGTGTTCCGTAAGGCGATCAGTGAACGCCTCACTATCACCTCCTCTATTAGCCATTTCTGCAATGATCCGGCGGATGGTGGGTCTCGGCTTAGTATTATGATAAAAAATACGCTAACAAATGATAGCTAGTTCCCAAATGAGGGATGTGGGAAAAAACATCTCATTACTGGTAAGAAAAGGGACTCATTACTTCGTCTTTTTAAAATAGATCAGCAATTAATGTAGAGACTCACCAGAATGTCATCGAAGGAGTGAATCTGGATAGCAGGGCCAGCCTCGGTTCGAAGAGCCTCAATGTCCTCAGGGAAGATGAGGATGATGTGTTTGAGGAGGGGCAACTGCAATTGTAGGAGGTTTCGCGCGCGGTCAACGGTAACGCAAACGCACACAGAGAGCTCCGCTGAATGGGAAGGGGAGGCATAAAAGCACGGTTAACACCTCCGCAAAGGACACCTGCCATTGTTGTTGAGAATGAGCCTGAAACTTAAACAACTACTAGCATACGCAAAAGTTGAGATAAAGTCGGCCAATCTAGAGCATAAACGGCAGCCAAGCCGTGGACGGACGCCGGTTGACTGACTTCGACTATGCCAATGATATCACTGTGCTAGCATCAAGCTTTGGCGATCTCCAGTCTATGGTGTCATGGGTGAACGAGG